ATTTTCTGTGACTATTTTAAGAAATGTCTACTGTGAAGCACTTTGGACTGCAATTCTTGTATGAAAGGTGCTATACAAATAAAGATTATTATTATTATATGGGTATTATATTGCTGGTTTTAATTCCAGGGTATCTGCAGGAATCCTGAAGTCAGATGTAATACCTTTTAAGACCTTTTTTAAGACCCTTTCCATACATTTTAAGACCTCATGGCCACTTTGAGTTTTAACCGGTTACCTTGGCGACACACTTTACCTCACATTGACTATATACAGTATTGATTGTCCTTCCTCCTTATCTTCCAACCATTTGGACGCAGACTTGCATTTCCCCATAACGATGTTGTTTAACAACCGGCGTAAACGGAGCTTCGCACTATCAAGCAGTGAGCGTGTGATGTCCTGTTCAGATTACGTCAAATCCAACGGGATGCCATAAATAAACTACACAGAATCACACTACACACCTACGCAATGATTACATTCAGGCACACTGTAGAACACAACCTCTTTGGACCATTTATATACTTATTGAAAACAAGCTACAAAATGTAACACCTTGGAAAATGCCGTTTAATACTTTTTAATAGCCTTCATTTTCGGTAAATTGATTTATCAACTTTTAATACTTTTTCAGACCCTGAATTCATAAGTAATGTAATCGTAACAAATGAATGTGTACAGCTGTTCTTATTTACACAGATGGTGTGTAAGTGTATTGCACACTGAAACTGCTAGGGTTATGGTTACAAACAAATAGCAATTCTTAAAGTTTGCATGTCTGCTTTTTGTTTACCACATGACACTCACCATCTCTATGACCTTCTCTGCTTCCTCCACGCTCTCTATGTCAAATGTTCCAGCTGGAGCTTCAGCCATCTGCTGCTTCAGCTTCTCGTTGGCTTCGGCCATCTGAGGCAGGAAGCTCTGCAGCCGATCCAACACTGAAACACAACGAGACAAAACATCATCACACGTTCTGGATCAAAGGGGGTTGGTTCTTAGTTTTACAGCCACACATATAGGGATGTTTAGTCTTACCGCTGCTCCTCGGGACTCTCTCTGTCTGCAGGGATTTGGCAGCCTTTGGTTTGAGGAGAAGCTTCTCACTGAGACCTGGCAGCACAACAAACAAGCCAACAGTGAGTTAACATAGTCTATCTATAGTGAGAAATATCAAATCAATATACAACAGTTTACACAAAAGGCACAATAAAGTGGCATTCCCTAACATTTATGGATCATTAAATGGTTGTCCAATCCTAGTAGTGTTTCTGGCGTACTACTGTTGAGTGGTGTAGACATGTCAAGCACTACTGTAGTCTATAAAATAGTGAAATTTCTCTTCAAATGAAAAACCATGTACATAAAGCTGTCTTATTAGAGCGAGGTGACTCGTGTAAAATTATTATCTAATGTTAAGGACTTCACATAGTCCTAAATCTATATTTACTTCTAACATCAATAATAAACTGTACTGGCCATTGCTGTGAATTATATCAACATATTTAGCTAAACCTACCAATGTCTGACACTTTTGTACGAATAATTTCTAATATTAGCAACTTTGCTTGCAAACTTTCTTGGATTTCTTTAGTTTTCACACACATTTCAGAGCTGGTTCACACATATTCAAATTACAAAACTCTTACTGAAGATAACGTAAAACTCTTAATAGAGGAGTTTCACCTCACCAATTTATGATAGATGACCTATATGGAAACAGCCTCGTTCCTGTAAGAACATATGGTTAAAAACCTATTTATTTAATAGCTAAATCAACTCTGAGGAAGTGTAGTTTCCAGTTACTCGTTGCTGAACACACAGGCATCTCTCACTAAAATTCGTTTTAAAAATGTTCTACCTAAACAAAAAATGTAAATGCTGCAAACCTTCTCCGTTCCCACATGACAGCAAATCCTGTGAGGTTGTTTTCTTAATGTTTAATTCCATTTTAAAGGCGACTGTGTTTTGGTTTTCATCGACATGTGGGACCAACATCCGGGTAGGAGGTAAAATGTGCCCCCTAGTGTTTGGGAGGAATACATGTAATGTAAAAATAGCTCTAAAAATTGAACGCAGTGCTTTTAAAACCAATATAAAAAGTAATAAACGACAAATCAAATAATAAATCCAAAAAAAAAAAATCTAGACGATAAATAATAAATAAAGACGGAAGCTAAGGGAAAATGTAATGATCTGATAAAGGCGGTGTACCTTGCGCATGCGCACTGCAGACACACTGTGTGGCACTTTTTGTTCTAGCTAGAAAGCTTGAAAGAACAGCAAGAGATCCCACTCCTAATTTTTTATTTTACGACGAAACCAACCAGGCAGAGTTGACCTACTTCAACGAGAGAGAGTCTTGAATTCTTTTTAGTGTTGACACAATACAAGGCAACCTGTGTTTAAACCTTTAAAAAAAACTAAATAATAAATAGGCCTACGTAAAATAGCTGAAATCTAAAAAGACATTTAAAGAAGCATATACATGTATCAAGAAATAGACAACAATATATATCCCATAAAAACATACATATTCATCTAATGTTTTCTTTATATGTTATTATTAATGTTCTAATGGCATCCAAACTCGTTTTAATATACCGGTCTATGAATCAGCCGGATTACATCCACTCTTTTTCAAGCGGAGTGATACATTGTTATTTATAGACGAGCTTTGTTGGCACTTTTCAGTCTGACGCTGCTCTGTCTGTCAAGAAAACAGAGTAGACTCCCATCTCTTCTCCTGGATGAAATGTCTCCGTACCCGAGAGGTAAGTTATCAAAATTAATCCTGGACGACTACAACAATCAGTTTATTATTCTTATATCAACTAAATACCACCAGATAGTTTATTTTCCCGGTTTACGGATACGAAAGTAGGGAGCCGTTTGTGCTACTGTTTTGAATTTCTACACAGCTAGCTATCATAGCATAGTTAGCTAACATAAACACACGTAGGATAATATTGTCTAGTTTAGGAAGGTGATCACTAAATAAATGGGTACAAATACAAATACTTAACATAAAGTCGAAGTGTTATACACTGAGATAGACGGGTTAGAAGAAAAGGCCTGAACACTGATGAAGTGCAGATACAAAGGAAATTAAACTATTCTTCAGTTTTGCCATTGCTTTCTGTCAGTAAGACACTCACAGATATTATGTATTTATTCCTAAACAAATTCATTTTTGTACCTCTTATTTAAATGTGTTGAGCTACTCGTGATTTTTATCTTTCCTGCTCTGGTATAACATAAACCAAACATCTAACTAATACACTTCTTTTCTCTTGGTTTTGCAATTAGGACTACTTAATTCCCAAACTGTTTTTTAGTGTCCTTATGGGCTGAAGGTGCCAACATATTGTCCAGCACTTAGTTGTGATTGATAGCAGTAACAGAAAAGCAACAAAAAAGAAGGTACAACACCTTCACGGGATGAAGAATCTGTAGCTACCATAATGGTGTTGGCCCTTTTAACTACTCCTACTCGTGTTATTGTAAATTTCCTCAAAGCCGGTTTGTAATTATTTAGAAAAAGACCCCCTCAGGTGACTGCTTATGAAGGATTTTGTTCCTCTTCACAGTAGATGACTCGGCTGTTCAAGCTCAGTCAGCAGTGTAACATAATTGCCCCAGTGCAAATCATTTTTCTTGGGACTTTGCCCAAACCACAAGTGTTATCGTGCACTGTAGAGACACACACAACTACTCTAACTAAAAAAAAATGCAAATCAGACAGCTGCTTTATCATGGAGGCGCTTCCCATGCATTAGCTCACATCCTGTAAATTAGGCTTTGGTCAGCACCACGGACAGCAACCGACGCATACATTTAGCAACGCTCATTTTACAGCGTTAGATTACAGTAGCCATGCATTTTATACAGATCACAATTGCATTAGATATGCTTTAATCCCTGATCCAACTTCATCTTGAAAATAAACCTCACACATCAGAAATTTCGGCTCTACGGGTCTTGCCAGCAAAGTTGTTAATAACTCTGCTTAAAGGTGGGGTAGGTAAGTTTGAGAAACCGGCTCGAGATACACTTTTTGTTATATTCCATGGAATGCTCTTAACTTCCCGATAGCAATGAATATCGTAAATGCTTTGACAAAAAATCCATAAAAAAATGTCATCTGGAAGCCGTAGCGCTGTAAAAAGCACGACCAATCATCTGAGCCGGCCCGGCTAAAGTAACTGGATGGCCTACCTACCTGTCAGCCTTCCATCTGTGCACAAACTTACCTCGTGCCCTCATTGGTCATGTGCGCGTTTGTGTGTGTTGGAGGAGGGGCTCTGTGAGGAAGTCTGAAGGAAGGGGCAGATTTTTTTCGGCTGTGTACTCTCAAATTCTAGCGCACTCGAGCTGCTTTCTCCATTCTTACCTACCTTACCTTTAATGTTATTATATTTTATGATATTTTTAATTCATGTGTGTTCACTTTCTGCTGCTGTGACGAAGCAATTTCCCAATTTGGGATAATCTCATTTTAAATAAATGAACAAACAGTTCTTCCCTCAGCATCTATGCCACACTGCTACAACTTGTTCATCTGAGCAATGGCTGTTGTTTTCAAACCTCTTTATTGATTGTCACCAGCTGTGCGCGTTCGTGTGTGTTGGAGGAGGGGCTCTGTAAGGAAGTGGCAGATTTTTTCCGGCTGTGTATTTTCAAATTCTAGCCACTCGAGCCGTTTTCTCCAAAATTACTTACCCCACCTTTAAGAAGACTTTTAAACAGTCAAATGCATGACCGTCCTCCAATAGTAAAACGGCAAAGATGAACCTTCTCACCTGGGCCCCTGACAGTTTCTGGGACACTATAATAATATCATATCAGTCAATATGCAGGCCATTGATCTAATGTCACCCTAAATATCGCTTCAGTCAGTCTGTGTTTTCCTGTTCAGCTTTTCAAACCTCTGACATCTTGTTTATTTCTCTCAGGCACATGAGTCATTGAGCCGAGTCCAAACCCCTTGTGTTTCTACACTGCTCTGAGACTGGAGGACAGGAGATGAGAGTCTGCGGCGCTCCACCACACCATGAGTCTCCCGGGTCTGGGAGGACCTGTAAGGGATTCCCTGGGCTCTAGCCTGACGGGGCCTATGAGCGGCTGGAGTTCTCTCTCTCTGAAGCCAGTTTCCTCCGGGCGGATCGCCTCTATATTCCAGACCATGGTTCCCACGGGTTACACCAAGCTACAGGATGAGCGTCTCTCCATGGTGGACCTCAGCGCCAAACCTGACGTCGCGTCGCTCCAGAACGGCTACAGGCAAGAGACGACACACATAGAAGGCCGGCGGATTCTGGACCGGGCCTCTCGCTCCTCTGTGACTTTATCTGACTGTGGAGATGGAGGCTACTCTGAAACGGAGCCCATGCTGGCTGAGAGGAGGCTCTCTGGAGAGGAGGCAGATGAAGAGGAGGAGGAGGAAGAGGATGAGGAGGCAGGTCCGGGATCTATCGTGCACAAAATGCCCAAGGAGTCTCTGCTGGCCATGGCGCTGCAGATCCTGCTGCCTTTCCTGCTCGCTGGGTTTGGAACTGTGTGTGCTGGCATGGTGCTGGATATCGTTCAGGTAAGCTGAGCTGCAAACTGTTATTCCAAAAGACAACCAGCATAGTTAGGAGCTTAAGACAAGGCGGCATTCAAGTCTTATTCCAGTTTATTCATCTTCATTTCTCTCATAGATATTACATTGCATTTAGCAAGTGACTTACAATAAGTGCGTTCGACCAAGAAGATACAACCTTGAAGAAAACAGAATCATATAAGTACATCAGGTTTCATAGAGCCAAACATTTCAAGTGCTACTCAACTGGCTTTAGATAAGCCAGCCCTTTATTAGTATACAAGTTCTTTGTTAATAATTCTATCGCTCGAAGTGGAGTCGAAAGAGATGAGTTTTCAGTCTGCGCCGGAAGATGTGTAAGCTTTCTGTTGTCCTGATGTCAATGAGGAGCTCATTCCACCGTTTTGGAGCCAGGATAGCAAACCCATATGATAACAATGTCATAAACAAAGTGCTTGAACATGGTGGGGAAGGAGAACAAAACATGATCAGCCAATCAGAAAACAGTTATTTTATTTAAACAACTTTTATTTGGTGACGATATAAAAGCTGAATGGACTTAATCATGTTGTAAAATGTCTTCATTTATTATTTATCATTGTGAGCATAACTACATTAATAAACCAGATGGAAGCAGGAAGTCAGGCTCTATTTGTTAAGTCCAGCATTGTTTACACTAGCTATGTTCACTGTTCTTATTGCTAGCATAGGGGCTCGTCAGCAGGGACGTCATTTAAAGCCTCTTGATGACTAGGATGAACCCAAACATATATATATTAAAAGAGCAACACAAGTAATACCCAGGTTGTACGATGGATTTATTTCTTAAAGTAAAGCTGGCCACAAGATATTTCCTCTAAACATTTTCGGTTTACTAGTAAGAGGAACTACATTCTGTCAGTCATTCTCTAGAGTCAACATAGTTGTGAGCAGGAATCCAGTTTCAAACTTTGACACTTTTTCAGAATTTCTGCCGGTTTCCTTGACAAGAGAGAGAAACCACTCCGTTAAGTTAAGCCTTTAAGTCCACAGGAGACAAGGACATGATGAATGTTGGTCTTATCTTAAAGATAGCGTAGTGTTTACATTAGTGCACTAATTAGAAAGTCAACAAACAGTACAAACATATTTACCCTCTTTTGTCCTTCACAGCACTGGGAGGCGTTCCAGTACATCACGGAGATCTTCATCCTGGTACCGGCTCTCCTCGGCCTGAAGGGAAACCTGGAGATGACTCTGGCCTCAAGGCTGTCCACAGCGGTGAGACACAACACACACGCACGCACGCACGCACACGCACACACACACACACACACACACACACACACACACACACACACACACACACACACACACACACACACACACACACACACACACACACTCT